TACAGTAGGATCCCCTGCTTCATTGATTCTGTTTGTCAATATTTGAAATATTAAAACACCTAGAAATACATATTTCTAATGATGCCATGACTGGAATGGGTCACCAGAGGGAGGCAGGAACAACGTGATGTGCCGCCTTCAGGGTCATCCACATTGTTCAGCATCTGCAAGGGGAGGGGCCTGGACGCTGGATCAACCACAGATCCAAGGGTCCAACTGCAGAACCACCGTCTAGGTCCTACCTGTCTTTGTGTTTTATTTCAGGGCTTTATGTGCCGCCGGTCATCCACATTGTTCAGCATCTGCAAGGGGAGGGGCCTGGACGCTGGATCAACCACAGATCCAAGGGTCCAACTGCAGAACCACCGTCTAGGTCCTACCTGTCTTTGTTTTGTGTTTCAGGGCTTTAATTTTTCTCTCTGAATCTACTTTAGCTGAGCTTTGCCTTCTTGTAGAAGGGAAACCTTCGAAAGACACAGTGGCCTTGAGATTTGGGTGGTGCACAAATTAAGTAATGCAAGAAAGCAAACTGGGAAAGTGTGAGTGTCATGGTTCGACCGGAAGGCAGACGCTTAACAACGCAACTGGATGAGTCGTAGCTGCTGTTGCAAACAGCCCCCCCCCCCCGCCCCGGGGTTGAGAGAAGGGGAGGGCGTTCTTGTACTGGCCCTGCCTGGAGTTCATGTATCTTGTTTTGACCACGTCCACGGGCGACGCCACCACGGTGGCACAGAAGCCGGCTCCAAAAGCAGCCACGAAATGGCACGGGAAATTGTCTGAAGAGAGAAGAGGGACAGTCAGCAGAACCTGGGTTCAAATGCCTGCTTCTGCTACGGTATAAGGTTCCCTGGGAGATCTTGAAACGGGGACAGAGAGATGCTCGCTCGCTCCTTAAGTCCATCGCTCGCTCCATTTTTCTCTCTTGGAAGCCTACCTCGTAGGGTGGTTGTGAAGATAAAAACATGGAGATGGAGGGCCAAGGCCTGAATCGTTAGAGGAAGGACAGGAGAGCATCAACACCAAGCCACAGGCAAACTTCAGGGAAGCTTCTGTGTTGGACTTCAATGATCTGTGGTGTCTGGGGATTATGGGAGTTGTAGTCCACAAATGTAACATTTCGAAGCTTTGATCCCAGGCCGCTGTTAGAGGGGAGCTAAGAAAACTGTGATGCTCAAGCAACGTCCAAGGTCAAATGGGAAGCCTTTTGTAGTCCTTCCTGTGAGGTGGGTCCCCTTACAAGGGGGAGGGCCCATCCAGAACTGGGGAGCATGGACCCTGGACAGGAAGAGAGACTGAGCCCCAATTCTAAATGTTCCCCTCCAGGGAAAAACACTGTAAAAGATCTGACCTTTCTCCATTCTAGCCTGATGGACAGAAATCTCACACCTAGGGCTGGCCTAAACCCATTTAGCCCCAGTTTGAGTTGACCTGTTGAGTCAAATGCTGAACAGTTGATCTGACACTGGCGCGAATCCCATGGACTCAATGTGTCTACTCTAGCTGAGGCAACGGACTGGGTCGAGGCTTTAGGGATTTCCAGTCTCAAGGCAGCAACCAAGGGGTGCAGAAGTTCATATTTTAGACTAGAACCCCAAACCAAGGAGTTTGATGTGCTCACTGGTCCTGCTGTTTGGAACAAAACTGGGAACGAGTTTCGGGACGTATCTCAGCTACATTTGCTACAGCATCAACGTTTGTGGACTGCGCTCGACGCCTTGCAAACCTGCCGCTAGGTCGCTGCGGGGTCTGTAGAAACCACACCGCACAACAACGTTTGGGGTATGTGGGCGCCATTTCCAAAGAAGTGG